AGGGAAAACCAAGTGGAAAGCTTGTCCCTAATTTGTTCAACAAACAGAAATATGTCTTACATTATAGAAATTTGCAGTTTTATCTGAGTCAGGGATTGATTCTCACAAAGATTCATAGAGCCATTCAGTTCAGACAGACGCCATGGCTTAAACCATTTATTCAATACAGAGAAACGTAGACAGTCTACAGATAAGTCTGACAAAGCTTTTTCCAAACTGATGAATAACTCTTGTTTTGGTCGCAGCATGATGAATGTGCGAAAGCATGTGAATGTGGAACTTGTCAATTCTGACAAACGCCTGAGAAAGCTGTGTGCCAAACCCACTTTTGAAGCATTCAAAATTTTTAACCCTGATTTAGCTGCTGTTCACTTGAAGAAAGTTTGTTTTTTTAATCAACCTCTGTACGCTGGTTTTTCCATATAAGATTTATCCAAAGTACACATGTACGACTTCCACTACAACTTCATTAAACCCAACTATGGATCCAAAGCACAGTTGTGTTTTACAGACACAGACTCGCTGTGCTATGAAATTGAAACCCCTGATTTGTATGGGGACATGGGAAGGCATGCACATCTGTTTGATACTAGTAATTATGAAAAAGACCACCCTCTCTTCTCAAGACAAAATGAAAATGTGTTAGGAAAATTCAAAGATGAATTGAAGGGAGAGGAAATGATTGAGTTTATAGGTCTCCGCCCCAAAATGTATTCCATGTTTTATAAAGAAACAGAAACAAAAACAGTTGATGGAGAGGAAGTTGAAATAGTACTTGATGCAGAGAAAAAGACAGCCAAAGGCATTAGCGAAACCGTAAAAAACAAACATCTTTGCCATGAACTGTACAAACAGTGTCTTTTTTGACAAGGTAGAATTCAGACATGAGGTGGGACAAATTCAGAGTAAAAGCCATCAGCTGTACACTGCTTGCATCAACAAAATCAGTCTTTCCCCTTTTGATGACAAACGTTTTGTGTTAAAAGATGGGATCCACACACTAGCCCATGGCCATTACAAGATTAAGTTAGATTCAGACTTGTAATTCTTTCATAAATATGTATATTGTGGAAGCCATTTCATACCTCTCTTCTCAGATGTATATTTATGTATTGTTGATGTACCTAGCTAACCCATACTGTAGCTTCAAGTTATGTTTTTGTTTTGTTTTTGTTTTTTGTTGTTGTTTTTTTGCTTAGAACTGGAGAATGTCAATATGTACATAGTTTTGCTAGAGCGGATCCTTTTTGACCAGCTGTACAGTTGATGTTTGATTTGTGTATTACATAGCTGGATAAGGCTCTATATGCGCCTCAGCTTTAAAACACCATTAGCTTTGTAACATGTATAGACAGTTAAACCATGACATGTCCATTGACTGATTGTTCATTGTGCTATTTGACAAATGTATATTCAATTCTTGAATATGTTATGATTACTATATTGTGTTTGTGTTCATGAAATAAAGATATTGACTTTCATCTTTGGTTGTGTTATTACTGGGTGTGCTTCTACACCTCAAGGTTATAATAATAACTGTAGCTTGTGTATGACGATTGAATCATGTTGAGAAAGAAGAAATCAACCATATATAATACTATTTACACACTTTATTACATATATACATTAATACACCTTGACCATGAGACATATACATTGATATATTGGATACAGTTTTAATTCATATGTGTATTCATATTAGACACAGGACACATCCATATATGATACAAAGAATGTGGAGTTCACAGTTCATCGTGATCTGTATCATCATGCTCAGACATGTCAACAAGTTCTAAATCTTCAGCCTGGCTCAAGTCCACATGAGAGAGAATATCTTTCACGACAGGTTTCATCCACTGAGTGATTTTAGCATCCATTTCTTTGGGGTCCATGTCAGGGTCCAGGGCAGTGATTTTCTCTAATATAGGCTTGAAGAGGGGTCCATATCCAAAATAGCTGGCATAACAAACGGCTATCGCAAGTCTATCAAGAAAAGTAGTTTGCCAGCATTTTTGTAGTTGTTTCTCAATCCATCGTTCATTCTTTCCTTTATCCTCAAAGTCCTCCTTTTTCTTCCAGATGTCCTCTTTACAAGCTTTCAAAGTTTGTTCCCACATGTATTCTAACCCTTTCACTTCTCTCTCTTGATCAACTTTAGTACCTATCTCTACCGGACGCAGGATATCATTCTTAGGATCATCAGCTGCATCCAGTTTTACTCGCTTCTGTAGAGGCTCGCCGTCATTCTCAGGACACCAGGTTCTAACATGACGTTGAAGGTCATGATTGTTTTCAAATACAATACTACACTCGTCACAGGAAGGCATGTTTTCGTCTTCTGAGTAAAGAGTGTTCGCCACTACCTCAGGGATGTTCACCCTTTGAGCGTCAGGAGTCAAATGACGCGGTGGCTCAAGTTGCTCCTCTTTTATAGACCGGATCCCAGACTCGCTTTGTCTTGATTCTGGTGCGGGATATGGTATGTATCCTTTTGGTATTTCTGGGACTGAGGGTATGTAATCTTTTGTGACTACATTAGGTTCTAGTCTATCTGATTCAAGACTGGTGGGCCGTAGGTCGATAGTCAGATTGCCATAGGGCTTTTGAACAGCTGTCTCATACACTGACATAAACCTATCAGCATTGTTGGGGTAGATACGTCTGGCAAACAATTGGACTTGTAGTTCATCCACAGGAGAGTTAAATAGAGTCACATAGTGGGAATTCAGAGCGATGTCACGTGACTCCTTCCCCCGCGGAAATAAATTTTGTAGCAGCAGAAAGACAATAACATTTTTGTGATGAGAAGTTCGTGTAAATAACTGACTGACACGTTTATCATCCTTAGCTTCACACATCATGTCATCCAACAGCATCATGTTGTTATTTCTAGCATCCAAGTAGGTATCGTCAAGTACATTGTAAGGAATTCCTTTCACAAACTTCACATGGGGCAACTGTTCACTGATCACCTGGTACAGGGGCTGCCATTGGGTATAGCACCAGATAATGTGATTAGGTGCTGGCTGTATACATCCCTTCGTGAGAAGGTTGTAGATAAACATAGATTTACCACTGCCAGTAGGGCCCACAACAACTGCATTAGAGGGGATGGTAAACTTGAAATGTTCTTTATCATTGAATTGATTGTGGTTTCGCTGTTGCTTTTACATTGAGTTATGCGGCGGCCGTGGTAATTGCGGTGGCGACGGTAATTATGTCTGCGGCGGCGGTAATTGTGTCTGCAGCGGCGGTGGGGGTAATTGTGTCTGCGGCGGTAATTGTGTCTGCGGCGGCGGGGGTAATTGCGTCCGCGGCGGTGGATTTTTATAATCAATAATGTGCTTATGTCTCCTGTGTCTCAGCATAACATCCTTCCTTGAAAACCGTCTCTGACAATCTGGACATGTTGCTTCCATGGTGGTTCTGTATCCAAGTGAGAAGTGCATCACATGTATCATTATTTATATACCCTGGAGGTCCTGCTCTGGGATCCAGCTGTTGAATTTCTTAGGATAGCCCATCCATTTAACATACACCTCTTTTCTACCAGCTCTCTTCCTCTTCTTCAAGACTTTCTCAACACGCCACATGGTGTCTGCAGACTTATAGGCTTTCTGAAGTTCATTCGCATAAAAAGTACCTGTGATTGGATCCTCAGCCTAACAATAAAGATTTCCTCCGTCCATTTCTCCTGATAGTCACGTTGAAAGACATGTCTCAAATGTGACAGTCGCACCTGATCCCCTACTTTGAATTTAAAGGCTTTCTGTCTTCTTTCATTGATCTTCTCTGCTTTGGGTTTGACTTGTTTGTGCAGTGGATCAATGTACTGTTCATTCCAAACAACAGATATCAATGGGTGAACGTTCATTCAGCGACCTATGAGGTCTCTGGTTATAATCTTTCACCAAGTCTTGCAAAACATCAATATAATGGTATGATTGTTTGTAAGTAAAGTATCTGTACATAGTCGCCTTAAGGGTTCGTATGACTCTCTCGGCATAAGATGCTTTGGTTTCATTCTGAGTGACATAGTAGGTAATACCCTTGTTGGCTAAATATGATCTCACTTTCTTGTTATCAAATTCACGACCTTTGTCGGATCTGATAATGTGTGGAAGAGTAGCACGAGCAAATAACTTCTTCATGGCCTTAAGGACTGCGTCTTGTGTTTTATTTCTAAGGGTTTCCACCCATAGAAATCGTGTGAACATATTGATAGCTATCAATAAGTATTTTACACCTTCATTGTCCGAAGCTACATTTGATACATCGGCCAAGTCTATATCCCACCCATCGTTCAAACCAATTGAGATCACTCTGTTCCGCTTGAACTTGTACCTCAGAGGTCGCTGAAGTTAATAGGCATCTTGAGAAGCGAGCCACTTTTTGATGTGATGTAAGCTGATATTAAATTTCCCTTCCTTTTTCACCATGTGATATAACTTAGTTGAACCCGAGAAGGAGGCTGGGTGTTTGGGATTAAAGTAAATGCTGGACAAATACTCTTTCCATCCTTCAGCGGGCATGGTGAGAAGACAAATGGTATAAAAATAAATTGCATATATATGTTTTTATAAGAAACCATGTCTCATTCAGAAGCGATCGGTTTACACAGGCTACGACTGGCCGACTGTGTGACCAAGTTTCGCTCTCACTGTACAAGCAGTGCTGTTGTGTAAGACCTATAACGGTTTGTTTACACAGGTGACTCTACCTCGTCTCGCTATATGTGTGAGCTAATTCCTCTCACCGTTGCATTCCACTTAATATATACTTGGGATGAAAAGATGACCTATTTATAGACTTTCCCATTTATTGTACAGTGAAATATAACAGTCCATACAATATCTCTTTTAAGATGTTAAGTACTGCTTCCAACACCTTGCGAGGGAGTTTTCCAGTTTACATACATACAATCACGTTCGGTCTATGACAATCTCACTACCACCCAGACTGTATCCTTAATCTGCTTTACAAACAAGCCTTGTCTCCGTGCTTGACTATGGTCATTAAACAATTAATTATGAATACATGCTGGATTACAAGTCGTCTCCCTCCATCATAGTCACAAGCCAGCTCTCGCTATCTTTAAACTTGGGGAACTCCATTTTCTAAAAATAGCCTGGTGTATTGCGCCACACCATGTCATGACGTGTTTCTATAATTAGCTTGGCTCCATCGTTCAGGTGGGGCAGAACCGGCCTTTACCTATCATCACCTGACCATTCGATTCCGCCTTTTATTGTACACAGATACTGATATGGACAGATCATACCACAGGGAGTTTAAAAAACGCATTCCCAGGAACATGGCTATGTAAAACAGCATTTGACATATTGGCTGTTAACTGATCAAGACTGTATCCACGCATCAGTTCCAGAACTAAAGTAGAGGTGTTGGCTACAGGCGAGGGAGGGAAGCAGCATTTGGGGACAAATTTAATAGTCAAGTCCTGCTTGTAACCCTGTGAAGGCACCGCATCGGATCCAGTCCAGAACCGCAAGATGTCACCTAGTTTCACTTCAGAGGCATTTCCTGAAGAAACAAAGGTGTGTATCTCTCTTTCAGGAACGTAGCAAAAAGAGTGAGTGAGTTTAGTTTTACGCCGCACTCAGCAATATTCCAGCTAAATGGCGGCGGTCTGTAAATAATCGAGTTTGGACCAGACAACCCAGTGATCAACCGTAGCAAAAGAAAATAACATGAATTGGCTTCATTACTGTACCAAGGGAATCTCATACCACACAGATATCCCGGTAATGGTTCTGCTTACACCCCTCCGAAGTCCTGTCGTTTGATCCTGATCATAGGAGAATCCTAACCGATCACTAGCCTGACAAGCCTAACCCATGTTCCTGATGTATTCCTGATTGCGTAACGTTGTGCCTGTACCTTGAACACAGACCTTGCAGAAATATAAACAACACAAAGTAATGTGCTAAACGGAACACATCGAAGATGATTACGAAAGAAATTATGATAGGGTATTTTGTTTTGTCCAGTCAGAAAGGCTGATTAAGCACGCACCTTGGCATTTCTTCAAAAACTCTTCGAATGCGACCAAAGTGTCGTTTTCTTCCTCTCTGTCCTGTGTTCCTATGGGTGACAGCACAGCTTGGTACATGGTCTTCAGTTGTCTGCTTGTGAGTGGGCCGGAATGGTGGGCAGATTTGTGAACAAACAGCGACTCCAGAGCGTCTGGAGACTCGGCCATGTGAGCCAACAAACCAAGATCCGCCAATCCTGACTTGAACTGTTCTATTTCCATATGTACCCTGATAGAAAGAGTGACCCAGGTTAATTCGTATGTGGGTTATGTCTGGGTGTGTGGAAGTAAAACATATGAACACCAGAATGGTAAAGTGAGTGAGGATAGTATTGCGTCGCTTTTATATATATTCTATATATATGTTCTGGGGCACCAGAAATGGGATACATATATTGTAGTCATGTGAGAAATTGAACAGGTCTTCGGCCTGTCGAGCTAACACTTTAACAACTAGGCTACCCCATCGGACGTAGACTGGTAAAGACAGGTTAATGATAATAATAATGGCATTATCTGGGCAAACCTTCTACCTCGTTTGTCAAGGCACATGTCGTAAAATATATCTACATCTATATATACACCATGACTGTGGTTCACGTGATCACACACATCCGTTGTAATAACTCTCAGGACACGCAGGATGTCCTACGGTCGACTATCATGGGACAGTTTTCATTCTACGAATAGAGTACTTCTCACCTATCGAACATATATGACCTCCACATATGTCGTACCAGGTCATCCTTCTCTTCTATTACCAGGCAGTTAAGGGATCTTCCTTCGCCTTTGATCAATGTGATGGTTTCCTTGTCACGTACACCTCTCAGCTCTGTTGTGGTGGAGCAGCTCATAATCTGCATTTGATAACCAACATTACATGTATCAATGGCCGAAATCTTTTGACCTATAAGAGTTGATGGGTTGCCTTAAAACAAATTCTACCATATTCTACAGTATGATTTAAGCCACACATGCTATCCCTGACTAAACAACCCAAAGCATTCTAAAGAATTATAAGGCGATGTAATTGTAAAACCCTTCCAGGCCAATAGCAACCATCAATGTTATAATCATTATTCCAATTGTCTCTGTAGTTTCAAGTATGGACACGTGAATTGGAAAGTAGTTCAGATATGGACACGTGAATTGGGAAAATAGTTTCAGATATGGACACGTGAATTGGGAAAGAGTTTCAGATATGGACACGTGAATTGGGAAAATAGTTTCAGATATGGACACGTGAATTGGGAAAGAGTTTCAGATATGGACACGTGAATTGGGAAAATAGTTTCAGATATGGACACGTGAATTGGGAAAGAGTTTCAGATATGGACACGTGAATTGGGAAAATAGTTTCAGATATGGACACGTGAATAGGGAAAGAGTTTCAGATATGGACACGTGAATTTGGAAATAGTTTCAGATATGGACACGTGAATTGGGAAAATAGTTTCAAGTATGGACACGTGAATGGGGAAGTAGTTTCAAGTATGAACACGTGATTTGGGAAATAGTTTCAGATATGGACACGTGAATTGGGAAAATAGTTTCAGATATGGACACGTGAATTGGGAAAATAGTTTCAAGTATGGACACGTGAATGGGGAAGTAGTTTCAAGTATGAACACGTGAATTGGGAAATAGTTTCAGATATGGACACGTGAATTGGGAAAATAGTTTCAGATATGAACACGTGAATTGGGAAAATAGTTTCAAGTATGGACATGCGAATTGGGGAAATAGTTTCAGATATGGACACGTGAATTGGGAAAATGATTTCAAGTATGGACATGCGAATTGGGAAAATAGTTTCAGATATGAAAACGTGAATTGGTGAAAATAGTTTCAAGTATGGAATTTTGACCTGGGGAAAATAGTTTCAAGCACAGACATGTAAATTGGGAAAATGGTTTCAAGCATGGACAGGCGAATTGGGAAAATAGTTTCAAGCACAGACATGTGAATTGGGAAAATAGTTTCAAGCATGGACACGTGAGCTGGGAAATAGTGTCAAGTAATAGACATGTGAATTGGGAAAAGATGAAATCTACATTTTTGATGATCGTGGAATAATATACTAGTATTACCCTTTCTAAAGCAATACGTATAGGAGGGTTGTGGATGTCCTCTAAACGTATATACTTGATATCTCTCTCCACAAGGAAGTCATACATGCTGATGGTAAGGTAGGGGAATCCGACACCGCTATGAAGAATAGACCATGCTACCATCTTCCCTGCTTCTCGATAGCGTCCTGATTTTAAAAATGTCTCGTTCTTTCGGAATCCCAAGTGAGGCTCATCACCTTCCAGTATCTCTGTTTTCAGAGCTTGCATCAGTTTCCTATAAGTCGATAGTTAGGATAGGGTATTACCGTAGTAAATTCAGGTGTTTACGAAGACATTGATTGTGCAGTATTCACCTCTTAAATTGCTCTGTGTGTTTAAACGATAGTTAATCCAGAACCTTTACTTAAGGAACTGCTAGATTCCCAAACCAGGAAAAATAGAAGATCGTTGTAAAGATGACAGCAAACTACAACCCTGTGGAACCAATATAGTCTAGATAGCACTTATCCAGAAACCCCACATGACAACGACTTGCATAAATAGCTGTCTTTACAGTTTGTCCTTAAGATTAGTCGTGATAGATTAGGTTAAAACCATGAAATGAGGAAAATCTTACATGAAAAAACTCTTAACAGTTCCATCTTCTGCGAACTCGTTTGTAAGTTTCTTGCTCTGGAATTCCACGGTAGGTGGGTACTGCAGCTTCATGTCTTGTTTCCTCAGCAGCTTACTTACAATCTGAAGGATGTCTTTGTCGTTGACGGTGACCACAACCTCCCCCATTTCATCAATTGTGTTGAACCTCCACAAGCCAAGAAGCTCGCTTAGACTCAATCTAAAGACATAAATCACATCAAAACTTAACTAATAAAAGTTAGGTAATTAGGTATGGCCATTTTATCATAGGTATTTTTTATATTTCAGTGCTTAAGACAACTGGATAAGCTGAACAATTCTGCTTCCTTGCAGATAAAAAGTTACACGTAAAGATGAAACATTTCATTGTTGCTCGACAATCCGTAATTTCGCTGTCTTGAGAACAAGTGTGTTAACGTCTTTACTTAAAGGATGAAAAACAATTATGGCGTTTGCAACAGTTGCAAAATAATCACTTGAAACGCTGTGTCACACATCAGTCTTTGTTTCTGACGAAATATATGAAGTAATAATTATTTAGAGGGATTTTGTTGTTTGAGCTAAAGATGATCGACAGGAACATTGGTAGACACGAGAGTGAACAACGTATACGTAAATAAAATGCTAATCAATGGTAACAATTCAAATATTTACCTCAACGTTTTCGTATGAGTAGCATACATACTGCCATCAGGCTGGCAAAGGGAAGAGGTGTCTTTTCCTTGGTAGCGTGGCACCTCAGAAATAGTCAGGAAATTCTTCAAATAAACATATAAACGTATTGAACTAGTTTATCCATGTTAATCAAAACCAAAAAAGGGTTAATATCGAAGAGTCGCAATTGAGGTACACACGTATGTAGTTTAGCCAACCTGTCAGTACTTACATAATTAAGGCTGCGCAGGATGTGGGTATAATCTTCCCTATTCTTGCCTGGTTCAAGTTGTTCATACCCCGAATCAGATGCAGCGGCGGCAGCATTATCTGCAACATCATCTGCGTCGTCATGATCGACATACAGTTGAATGGTTCAGTGCAGTCAAATGACCAGTACTTCATCTTCCTTGCATAGCGAGATATTTGTATATGTGAATATCAGTGTGGATGCTACTTGACTATTGAAATCTCACGATTGAAGATTGTATATGAACAACGCCACAATTAACAATTTACTGCTACAGACAAGTCAGCATACAATACAGAGAAACGTGAAATGTTTTCACCTTTTCAAATGTTACATCAACTACATGTTACGAATTGGATATCGTTTACAAAATATAATATAGTGGTATACGTGGATATCAATGAGTAATAATCAAAGAAGAACCTTCGTCACTTTCGCCCTCATCATTTATACTGACTGATACTTCAGACTGAAACGTAAAAATAGAAATAGCTGTAATTACCCTGAAATAGAAAATGTCGTGAATGTTGGTGTACAAACGTGACATATCTTTGAAGGAAGGAACTTTTACCTGTACACAGAAACCATTGAAACCATTATCATGCAAATGTGTATCTAAAAACACCAAATTAATTTGATGTGTTAGATGACAATTCGACAAATCGAAAAAGGGAATGCATTCTGGACTTGTAGAATTTGTAATAACTTGATTAATTTTTTTCTGTGTGTATCTTTCACAGTTATGATGAACATTAGTTGATACATTGTTTTACAATAGCATCATTTACCTTGTCGTGACTACACGTGTTCTGCACATCCGGGACGATTTCATAGCCGTCTTCATCACAGGTGTTTTGACGGCGGTTGTGATCAACATCTCTCCTATTGTGATCCAATATAGGCGTGATGTAGTTCTCCACGAGTCTTGTGAATAGACCTCTATAGAACAATATAGTCAGTAACATAAATGTAGCATGACACTTGTCATTGATATTTCCACTTGGTTGTAAACACTAGAATCGGCATTACGGTAACAAGTTCGTAAAACCACGATCTTGTGCGCTATTCCTTTGTTAACCTGAACTATTAGAGTAAAGAAATTTCTTTTTTCTCTGTCAACAGAAACCTAACCTTCTCCACACGAGGCTTCTGCTGTCTTTGGCGACATATAACGTACCTTCTCAACACGAAGCTTCTGCTTTCTTTGACAACAGATACTTTACCTTCTCCACATGAAGAAGCTGCTTTCTTTGGCAACAGATGCCTTTACCTTCAACAGATAACTAGTTACCTTCTCCACATGAAGCTTCTGCTTTCTTTGGCAACAGATGCCTTACCTTCTCCACACGAAGCTTCTGCTTTCTTTGACAACGGATACTTTACCTTCTCCACACGAAGCTTCTGCTTTCTTTGGCAACAGATACTTTACCTTCTCCACACGATGATTCTGCTTTCTTTGGCAACAGATGCCTTACCTTCTCCACACGAAGCTTCTGCTTTCTTTGACAACAGATACTTTACCTTCTCCACACGATGATTCTGCTTTCTTTGGCAACAGATGCTTCTGCTTCTGCTTTCTTTTGACAACAGATACTTTACCTTCTCCACATGAAGCTTCTGCTTTCTTTGGCAACAGATACTTTACCTTCTCCACACGATGCTTCTGCTTTCTTTGGCAACAGATGCCTTACCTTCTCCACATGAAGCTTCTGCTTTCTTTGGCAACAGATGCCTTACCTTCTCCACACGATGCTTCTGCTTTCTTTGGCAACAGATGCCTTACCTTCTCCACATGAAGCTTCTGCTTTCTTTGACAACAGATACTTTACCTTCTCCACATGAAGCTTCTGCTTTCTTTGGCAACAGATGACTTACCTTCTCAACACGATGCCTCTGCTTTCTTTGGCAACAGATGCCTTACCTTCTCCACACGAAGCTTCTGCTTTCTTTGACAACAGATACTTAACCTTCTCCACATGAAGCTTCTGCTTTCTTTGGCAACAGATGTCCTACCTTCTCCACACGATGCTTCTGCTTTCTTTGGCAACAGATGCCTTACCTTCTCCACATGAAGCTTCTGCTTTCTTTGACAACAGATACTTTACCTTCTCCACATGAAGCTTCTGCTTTCTTTGGCAACAGATGAGTTACCTTCTCAACACGATGCTTCTGCTTTCTTTGGCAACAGATGCCTTACCTTCTCCACACGAAGCTTCTGCTTTCTTTGACAACATATACTTTACCTTCTCCACACTATGTTTCTGCTTCCTGTGACAAGGGATGCCTTACCTTCTCCACACGAAGCTTCTGCTTTCTTTGACAACATATACTTTACCTTCTCCACACTATGTTTCTGCTTCTTGTGACAAGGGATACTTAACCTTCTCCACACGAAGCTTCTGCTTTCTTTGACAACAGATACTTTACCTTCTCCACATGAAGCTTTTGCTTTCTTTGGCAACAGATGCCTTACCTTCTCCACACGATGCTTCTGCTTTCTTTGACAACAGATACTTTACCAACTTTACACGAAGTTTCTGTTTTCTTTGACAACAGATACTTTACCTTCTCCACACTATGTTTCTGCTTCCTGTGACAAGGGATGCCTTACCTTCTCCACACGAAGCTTCTGCTTTCTTTGACAACAGAGACTTTACCTTCTCCACACGAAGCTTCTGCTTTCTTTGACAACAGATACTTTACCAACTTTACACTAAGCTTCTGCTTTCTTTGACAACAGATACTTTACCTTCTCCACACGAAGCTTCTGCTTTCTTTGACAACAGATACTTAACCTTTTCCACATGAAGCTTCTGCTTTCTTCGATAACAGATACTTAACCTTCTCCACATGAAGCTTCTGCTTTCTTCGATAACAGATACTTAACCTTCTCCACATGAAGCTTCTGCTTTCTTTGACAACAGATACTTTACCAACTTTACACTAAGCTTCTGCTTTCTTTGACAACAGATACTTTACCTTCTCCACACTATGTTTCTGCTTCCTGTGACAAGGGATGCCTTACCTTCTCCACACGAAGCTTCTGCTTTCTTTGACAACAGATACTTTACCTTCTCCACATGAAGCTTTTGCTTTCTTTGGCAACAGATGCCTTACCTTCTCCACACGAAGCTTCTGCTTTCTTTGGCAACACATACTTTACCTTCTCCAAACGAGGCTTCTGCTATCTTTGACAATATATACTTTACCTTCTCCACACGAGGCTTCTGCTTTCTTTGATAACGGATACTTTACCTTCTCCACACGAAGCTTCTACTTCCTGTGACAAGTGATGCCTTACCTTCTTTACACGTGTGTTCTGCTTCCTTTGAGAACAGATACTTTACTTTCTCCACTTGACGCTTCTGCTTCCTGTGACAAGTGATGCCTTACCTTCTTTACACGTGTGTTCTGCTTCCTTTGAGAACAGATACTTTACCTTCTCCACACGGAGCTTCTGCTTTCTTTGATAACAGATACTTAACCTTCTCAAACGATGCTTCTGCTTCCTGTGACAAGGGATGCCTTACCTTCTCCACACGAAGCTTCTGCTTTCTTTGACAACAGATACTTTACCTTCTGAACATGAAGCTTCTGCTTTCTTTAACAACATATACTTTACCAACTTTACAGGAAGCTTCTGCTTTCTTTGACATCAGATACTTTACCTTCTCCACATGAAACTTCTGCTTTCTTTGATAACAGATACTTAACCTTCTCCACATGAAGCTTCTGCTTTCTTTGATAACAGATACTTAACCTTCTCCACATGAAGCTTCTGCTTTCTTTGACAACAGATACTTTACCTTCTCCACACTATGTTTCTGCTTCCTGTGACAAGGGATGCCTTACCTTCTCCACACGAAGCTTCTGCTTTCTTTGATAACAGATACTTAACCTTCTCCACATGAAGCTTCTGCTTTCTTTGATAACAGATACTTAACCTTCTCCACATGAAGCTTCTGCTTTCTTTCAGAACAGTTACTTTACCTTCTCGACACAAAGCTTCTACTTCCTGTGACAAGGGATGCCTTACATTCTTTACACGATGCTTCTGCTTCCTGTGACAACTGATACTTTACCTTCTCCACAGGAAGCTTCTGCTTCCTTTGACAAGTGATGCCTTACCTTCTTTACACGATGCTTCTGCTTCCTGTGACAACTGATACTTTACCTTCTCCACAGGAAGCTTCTACTTCCTGTGACAAGTGATGCCTTACCTTCTTTACACGATGCTTCTGCGTCCTGTGACAACTGATACTTTACATTCTCCACAAGAAGCGTCTGCTTCCTGTGACAAGTGATGCCTTACCTTCTTTACACGATGCTTCTGCTTCCTTTGACAACAGATGCCTTACCTTCTTTACACGTGTGTTCTGCTTCCTTTGAGAACAGATACTTTACTTTCTCCACTTGAAGCTTCTGCTTCCAGTGACGAGGGATGCCTTACCTATTCCACACGAAGCTTCTGCTTTCTTTGACAACAGATACTTTACCTTCTCCACACGAAGCTTCCGCTTTCATTGATAACAGATACTTAACCTTCTCCACACGAAGCTTCTGCTTTCTTTGATATCAGATACTTAACCTTCTCCACACGAAGCTCCTGCTTTCTTTGATAACAGATACTTAACCTTCTCAAACGAAGCTTCTGCTTCCTGTGACAACTGATACTTTACCTTCTGAACATGAAGCTTCTGCTTTCTTTAACAACATATACTTTACCTTCTCCACACGATGCTTCTGCTTTCTTTGACAACAGATACTTTACCTTCTCCACACGAAGCTCCTGCTTTCTTTGATATCAGATACTTAACCTTCTCTCCACGAAGCTTCTGCTTCCTGTGACAACTGATACTTTACCTTCTGAACATGAAGCTTCTGCTTTCTTTAACAACATATACTTTACCTTCTCCACAATGCTTTCTGCTTTCTTTGACAACAGATACTTTACTAACTTTACACGAAGCTTCTGCTTTCTTTGACAACAGATACTTTACCAACTCCACACGAAGCTTCTGCTTTCTTTGACAACAGATACTTTACCTTCTCCACAACGAAGCTTCTGCTTTCTTTGACAACAGAGACTTTACCTTCTCCACACGAAGCTTCTGCTTCATGTGACAACAGATACTTTACCAACTTTACACGAAGATTCTGCTTTCTTTGACAACAGATACTTTACCTTCTCCACACTCAAGCTTCTGCTTCCTTTGACAACAGATGCCTTTACCTTCTTTACACGATGCTTCTGCTTTCTTCGATAACTGATGCTTTACCTTCTCCACACAAGAAGCTTCTGCTTCCTTCGACAAACAGATGCTTTTACCTTCTTTACACGAAGCTTCTGCTTCCTGTGACAACTGATACTTTACCTTCTCCACACGAAGCTTCTGCTTTCTTTGTGACAACAGATACTTTAACCTTCTCCACACGAAGCTTCTGCTTCTTTGATAACAGATACTTAACCTTCTCCACACGAAGCTTCTGCTTTCTTTGATAACAGATACTTAACCTTCTCCACTTGAAGCTTCTGCTTCCTTTGACGAGGGATACCTTAACCTATTCCACACGAAGCTTCTGCTTCCTTTGACAACAGATACTTTACCTTCTCTCCAACATGAAGCTTCCGCTTTCATTGATAACAGATACTTAACCTTCTCCACACGAAGCTTCTGCTTTCTTTGATATCAGATACTTAACCTTCTCCACACGAAGCTCCTGCTTTCTTTGATAACAGATACTTAACCTTCTCAAACGAAGCTTCTGCTTCCTGTGACAACTGATACTTTACCTTCTGAACATGAAGCTTCTGCTTTCTTTAACAACATATACTTTACCTTCTCCACACGATGCTTCTGCTTTCTTTGACAACAGATACTTTACCAACTTTACACGAAGCTTCTGCTTTCTTTGACAACAGATACTTTACCTTCTCCACACTATGTTTCTGCTTCCTGTGACAAGGGATGCCTTACCTTCTCCACACGAAGCTTCTGCTTTCTTTGACAACAGAGACTTTACCTTCTCCACACGAAGCTTCTGCTTTCTTTGACAACAGATACTTTACCAACTTTACACGAAGATTCTGCTTTCTTTGACAACAGATACTTTACCTTCTCCACACTATGTTTCTGCTTCCTGTGACAAGGGATGCCTTACCTTCTCCACATGAAGCTTCTGCTTTCTTCGATAACAGATACTTAACCTTCTCCACATGAAGCTTCTGCTTTCTTTGACAACAGATACTTTACCAACTTTACACTAAGCTTCTGCTTTCTTTGACAACAGATACTTTACCTTCTCCACACTATGTTTCTGCTTCCTGTGACAAGGGATGCCTTACCTTCTCCACATGAAGCTTCTGCTTTCTTCGATAACAGATACTTAACCTTCTCCACACGAAGCTTCTGCTTTCTTTGATAACAGATACTTAACCTTCTCCACATGAAGCTTCTGCTTTCTTCGATAACAGATACTTAACCTTCTCCACATGAAGCTTCTGCTTTCTTTCAGAACAGTTACTTTACCTTCTCCACACGAAGCTTCTACTTCCTGTGACAAGGGATGCCTTACATTCTTTACACGATGCTTCTGCTTCCTGTGACAACTGATACTTTACCTTCTCCACAGGAAGCTTCTACTTCCTGTGACAAGTGATGCCTTACCTTCTTTACACGATGCTTCTGCTTCCTGTGACAACTGATACTTTACCTTCTCCACAGGAAGCTTCTGCTTCCTTTGACAACTGATACTTTACCTTCTCCATGCAATAACCAGCACAATCAGCAACAAGGCAGCCGTGCACCCCCCTGCCACATATGTCCAACTCTGGTTGCCACCTGTGTAATAGACCGGGCGTTAGGTAACAGATTTATCTTTATTACCTGGATCACAAAAACAACTTGATGAAGGTAGATATTGTGAGGGTAGTATTATAACCTTTTTCAAAGCACGTTCTCTTGCGCTTAAAAGAGGGTTGATCACCGTTCGAAAACAGTTTCTTTTTTCATTTTGAAGACTGAATGTTTGTCGTAAGAGGCGACTAACTAAGGTGGACAGTCTCGCTAACTCGTTTGACATACATGTATGTTAGTACGATACTCGTGACGTTGATCACTGGATCTTCTAATCTAGGCTCGAGTATTTACTGACCGGCCCCATATAGCTGGGGTATTGCTCTGTGGGGCGTTAAACTAACAAGCAAACAAACGTTCTCTCCAGATGTACACGTTAACATGTTAAACGTAAGTTTCCATAGCAAAGTGACAGGGTACAGTTATTCTCGACAAACATGCACACCTATAAACTTGAGTGTAATGGCAGGTGATGCTGTCGTGTGGCCATCCATCTCTGCCACACACCGATATTGTCCCTCTTCTCCAACATAGATAATGCTGATGTTGGCATTGGGGTGATCAACTCTATATTCAGACCGGTGAACTGGAGAACCGTTGAACGTCCATTTGATCCTGGAATTATATGTACGACGTACAGAGGTAAGTTGTCTTAATATAAACTCGTAAGTGACAGCGACTGTACAGATATACGTATGTCTTGAGAGTCACTACCGTGATGTATGTGATCGGAGTAAAATACTGAATTCGTCAGGTATGGACGAAATCATTACTTGCAGGAACAAATGATTGTTTTGTGAACGGAAAAGTGAAAAAGTATTTTACTCACTGAAAACTTTTATTGCGGCGATTTCTCATTATATTGAAAGTTATAGGAAAGGCTAATTCTCCTTCATTTTAGGGCCTCTTGGAAATATTCATCCTTGCAATTAGTCTACAACGCCAATCGGAATAACAAACTGCAGTTTTTCACAAGATTTTTCTAATTTTATAAATAAAAGATTTTGAAAAAGGTTAATCAAGTAGGATTGTTGACACTCACGTTAGGTTCAGGGCTCCTCTGGCAACACATGTCAAGTCTATATGGGTCCCCGGGGCAATCACCACAGTACGCTCCTTGGATGGCCTTACGATGACTGGCTGCTCGTGTAGATCTGTGAGGAAGAAATAACTACCAGTTTACTGGTAAAGATTGTGATCATTAGATATGCTCGTCTACTCCAATGACGTATCCAGATTATGATCGTGAACCCACGATCTAAAAGTTTAGTTGTAAGGTTATAAGAGTTGAATTGCTTCATGAAGATGTTCTAACGGATTGTCCAATAAGTACCTCGTGATTTCTTTTTGTATGTACTCACCGTGACAAGCTGCGGCTGTGACAGCCAGACATAGCATCAACGTTACTGTCACGTCCACGTCCATGTTATCCGATGTGTCGTCTTGAGTGTCAAATGTAGGATACTATAAAGTAAGACCATCTATTGTCTATATTATTATAATGATACATTTTTAGTTATGAAATGACATGTAAATATTCAATTATGAACAAGTTGCATAATATCAGACTAATACAAATATGCAGGCATAACATATGCTCTTGCATAGGGTGGGGTGGGTCATTGGATTCTTTTGCAAAAACCTCTTGTTCTGCTGCAGAAACTGGGAGACAAATATGTTTTGTTCGCGGGGCATGATGGATGTCATAGGATCCAATGTGAAACTGTATCAGCGATATCATAGGATGACAACTTGATGACTGAATGTTTGGTTTGTTTATTGGTTGATTGGTGTGTTATTTAACGCGGCAATCGGCAACATTCCAGCTTTATGGCGGCGGTCTGTAAATAGTCGAGTCTGGACCAGACAATCCAGTGATCAACAGCATGAGCAAATGGGATAAGATAACTTGTATCAGCCAATTCAGTGATGACTAAATGAGTGAGTTAGGTGCGTTTACCGCCACTGTGAATAATATTGCAATGCTATCACGATATGTGACTGGTCTGAAGACAGAACAGCTGGAACAGATCGCGTAAACGCACCATGCTTCGTGGCTCACCGAGAAGCATGACTTTTTCACGTGCAGTCAGACCACGTGCTCTCGACCACGTTGGAAACGGCCGAATCGGTCAGTTGTGTACAGGTTATGTTTGGGTTAAGACGTAATTGAGTTTAGACGTCAGTTTGAGTTCAGGTTTCCCTTGAGTTTGGTTGTTTCTCGAGTTGGGTGACAGCTCGTCAAAATAGTTGTTAGATAGACTGATATAAAGATTTATTTATTAGTGCATCGAAATAGAAGTTCAATATAGCTAGCTGCTATAGAGCTAGATACTGTACATAGTAGATTTACGCTGCAATAGAGCAAGATAGTGTAGATAATAGAATTTAAGGTATCACATTAAGTTTCTTGCCTCATTAACATTTGTTATAAGAGATTCACGTTTAGTTCCCCATTTGTATTTCATCAGTTTAATCAAGAGAGTCACGTTTAGTTCCCCAAATAGCATATTTCGGTACTTTAATTTTAATTAGTTTCGTTTTCAATTCCACTGCGCAACAATGGTAGCAGAGCGTGGTTTTCTGTTACATTTTCAATAGAACCAATAGATAGAGATAGAACTCATTTGATATTTAGATAGATAGCTTAGACCAAACTATGTCGGAAACTGGAATAGATAGCCAGCTTAGGTCAACTACTTCGGAGCCAAGATCTCTGTCGGCGACAGCCGAACGTGTTCGTGTGTTTGTGTTAAAACAACAAAAGGCAACAGCCAAATCGAGTTGTACCAAAGCTAGGAATAAACTCATGACTTTGATAGAAAGTGATGATCAACCATCACAGAAACAGGTAAGGGATGGTGTAGATCAACTGAACGAGCTTTTCGTGAAAGCAACAGATGTTATATTGGAACTTTCAAAGGTTTATGTTAAACTGGAAGATCGTGAGAATGTTGAAAAGTTGGATCACGAACTTAATAGTTTAGAAGAGGAAAACAACACAGTTCTTGAATCTGTAAAGATATATTTACAAGGTAGATCGGAATCTGACAGATCAGGAAAACGCTCTCTGTCCAGTGGGGGGGTTAGATAGGCTTTGCAACGAGGGTGAAAAATCCCGAATTGTTCAGCAACAAAGTGTTGTATCTCGGCGACAATCTCGTGTTGCATTTAGGCAACAATCTGAGGTAGCTGACCATGAACGTTTGGTATCTGAAGGACCCAACCAAGGTAAGGTGGATAAACTAGCATTGCATTCTAGTAGAACAGAACGCCAAGGGAAATCTGATAATCAGGCCATAGGGAATGACATGTGGAAACAGTTAAAGCGTGTTTCCATACCTGTATTTTCTGGTGACGTGAAAACCTACCAAAGCTGGAAGGCTGCCTTTATGACTTGCATTGATCAGTCCCCAGCAACACCTGAGTATAAGTTGTTGCAATTACGCCAGTATCTATCGGGGGGAAGCTTTGAAATCAGTTGAATCTTTAGGTCATAGCTCAGTAGCTTATGATGTTGCTCTGGAACGTCTTGAAAGGAAGTTTGGTGGGAAGCGACGGCAGATTGCAATCCAAAATGAAGAAATTAGTAATTTCAAGCCAATTCGTGAGGGTCATGTTGAGGATCTAGAGAAATTCGCTGATATTTTGGATGTTGCAGTTGCAAACATCAGAGAGTCAGATAGGGTAGAGGAGTTAGGAAATGGTCTCCTTTATGTCACTTTGTTAAAAAGATGACTGAACCTATGGTGGCACAATATCAAAAGTGGGTGTTTGAAAGGGACAGACAGGAGTCAGTAGAGACTCTCAGAGAATGGATAATGTTAGAAGCAGAATTTCAGATTGTTGCGAAAAGAAGCAGTGCGAGGATTGAGTACACCTGGTAGGAGATCAAACCCGAAACAGAAAATGTCTAGCACATTTGTAAGTGATGTGTGGTGTATGTTCTGGAGAGCATGAGATTTGGAACTGCAAAGTTTTCAAAAGTATGCTCGTGTCTGAGAGATGGAATGTAGCCAAACGACTGACACTTTGTTTTCGCTGTCTTAGGGGCAATCATCTTGGTAACAGCTGTCGTCAAAATAGGTTATGTGGCATATCAGGTTGCGCAAAGAGTCACAATAGATTATTACATAATACAAAATCTAGACGGAATGAGTGCACAGACAATTCTGCTCAGGGCTACCAAGAGATAAACAAAGCTGAACCACAGGTTGTTGAGTCAGTGGTTAATATGGGTCATGATGTAGAACATGCAAAATCTAAAAATGTGTTCAACCTGAAAGATCTCATGCAACAATGCCACCAGTGTCCAATACGTTGATAGCTCTTCGCACAGTTCCAGTGGTATTAAAGAATGGTGCGAGGAGCATTACAGTAAACGCCTTGCTGGATGATGCAAGCACGAAGTCGTACATCAATGCGGACATTGCAGCTGAGTTGGGGTTGCAGGGTGAACCACAAAAGATCTTTGTAAATGTCCTTAATGGTCACACAGAATCGTTTGACACAAAACCAGTAGAATTCAAGCTTGAAAGTATCAGTGGTGATCTAGGTATCCAGATGTCTGCAATGACAACTAATAGTGTGACTGGTACTTTGCAAGTGATAGACTGGCAAAAGCATGGAAGCAAATGGGCACATTTGCAAAATATTCCATTCCCCAAAGTAGCAAAGCCTTGCATGGTCGATTTGCTCATTGGTGTTGATCAATTAGAATTGCACCAGTCATACAAAGAAGTAACTGGACATCCTGGGGATCCAGTTGCAAGACTTACACCACTTGGGTGGACTTGCATAGGTCGCTTGTCTGATCAAGGTAGGTTTGAACAAAGTAACTTTACTAGCTCATTCTTCATAGACAACAAAGATATTGAGCTGAACCAGTTAATGCACAAGTTTTGGGAATTAGATCACGGAAACCCAACATCATCTCAAATAAAGCCTGATGATGAAGTGGTTTTACAAGCAGCACATGAAACACTCACACACAAAGATGGCAGATATGAAATATGTATTCCTTGGAATGAAAATGTCCATTTGCTGACTGACAACTATCATATGGCTGTTAAACGTCTTTACAGTACTGAAAAGAAGTTGTCTAAACCTCCAGAAATAGCAAAGGCTTACGATGACATTATTTCTGAGTACTTGTCAAAGGGATACATTCGCAAAGTTCCACAAGATGAACCACTTAGTGAAACAAAATGGTACCTTCCTCATTTTCCCATTTTGCGTCCTGACAAGAGTACCACCAAGGTTCGTATTGTGTTCGATGCCTCAGCTAAACACGAGGACCTCTCTCTAAATGATGCAATACATGCAGGACCTAAGTTGCAAAGCGAGTTGTTTGATGTTTTGCTTCACTTCAGAAAGCATCCGGTGGCACTTATCTGTGACATAGCTGAAATGTTTCTTCATATCAGTATGTCACCAGATGATCGACCTTATCATAGATTCCTGTGGAGGTCAATGGATATGACTAGAACTCCTGATGTGTACGAGTTCAGCAGGGTTGTATTTGGAGTTACATCCTCTCCATTCTTGGCCCAATTTGTGACACAGGAACATGCTCGAGTTCACATGAGAGAATATCCACTGGCTGCAGAAACAGTCATCAAATCGACATATATGGACGATAGCATGACTTCTGTTGAAGATGTGGAAAAGGGTATAGAACTCTATGAACAGTTAAAGGAACTATGGTCTAGGGCAGGAATGCATGCCAGAAAGTGGATGTCAAATTGTCTTGAGGTTTTAGATGGCATACCTGAGAAGGATAGGGTGAATGAGGTTGATCTCAACAGAGGACATTTGCCTTCAGTCAAAACTCTTGGCCTACTGTGGATAGCCACAAGTGATTGTTTCACTTTCAGGGTAAACTTTCCCATTACTGTTGAGAAGATCTCAAAAAGAGTTTTCCTGAGATATGTTGCCAGGCTTTTTGATCCCTTGGGTTTAATATCACCATTCATTGTTACTGCTAAGGTGATTCTGCAAGAGATGTGGATGGCGGGACTTGAGTGGGATGATGATGGTTAGATGGGGTCTTGAGACACAGAATAGAGCAATGGCTGGGAGACTTGAGTGGTCTAGAAGCAGTGAAAGTTCCCAGGTGTCTATGCAGTCATAAAGATATGACATCTCTGACTTTGCACACCTTTGTTGACGCCTCGCAAGTGACATATGGAGCGGTTGTGTGTGCGGTGGCTGCTTGCCCAAACGGAGACAAATTGAGCATGATGGTGGCATCTAGGGGCAGAGTTGCGCCGCTGAAGGCTGTCGGTGTGCCCGGATTGGAACTTGTGGCAGCTGTCCTGGGTCTGCGATTGGCATTGCATATCACAGAATCACTTGATGTTGACATTAGGCAGGTTGTCTTCTGGTCGGACAACATGAACGTGCTATGCTGGATTAGAAATAACAGCCGAATATTCAAACCTTTCGTTGCTAACAGGGTGGGT